ATTGTTTTAACTGTGCTGCTACTGTAAGAGTATAAGCCCCTCCTTTTGACTTCTTCTGTGGTATTGTCTTTAAATTGTCTGCACCCCTTAGACCCTCCCCTTTAGTAAAGTAAAAGTTAAATTAGATTTATTTCAATTATTCAGAAGTTATTCAGATAGTAATATTTACAGTATAGTATGTCGATATCTAAAAATAACACATTTATATAATAGAATTTAATTCCTGAGAGTCTTTCTGGTTCACACTCCATTCCAGTAGATGGCGGAAATGCATCTATCTGTTGTTTGCCAACCGCCAAAAATATCAAAGAAGAAGAAGAAGACCCTCCCCTTTTGTCATGTTGTCCTGCGGGAGAGGTTTGTGCCAATTATTTTTCATCTGAATATATCCAGTTTATTTATAGATCTATTAAGTTAATTTTTGTTATTTACTTCTGTTTTGTGTAGGACTTGGAGCGGGCAGCCATTAACACAGTTGTTTTTGTATGTTGTTCTCGTCAGGTATGTTGTATAAAAAAGGTTTATTTGGTTTACTGTGAGACATACTTTTGCCGCACCGCCTTTTTGTCATGTTATCCTGCGGGAGAGGACATGGAGCGGGCAGCCATTAACACAGTTGTTTTTGTATGTTCTCGTCAGGAACAATAAATCGGGAAACTGTCCTGTTATAGATGAACTGTGTCACGGCCTGATCACTTCATAAACCAGCACAACGCAGAAAGGATCCGGTTACACTTGGTGCCGTGACCCGGATGTAGGCGCCATGGCTCACCACCAGAACATGGGCCGATGCCCCCTGGAGATCGGCGCTGGCCATTGCGGCGTCTTCTGCAGAAAGTGCCACTGAGGGAGTTTCCTGTCCTGAGGAGCCACTCATATCCAGCATTTCTTTAAAAAGGACTTGTCGAAAATTTTTGAATCTCAGCTTCACCTGGTCTAAAGTTTCTCCTCCTGGAGGCGTGTAATCACGGCATGACTGACCGGCAGCGTTCGCCATGTTCTTCATGTCTTCTTTGTGACGTCCTTCAGCGACACCAAAACCCCGTTCTCTGAGTAAAGGCTCTGAAACCATCTCCATTCCAGAACAGTGAGTGTTGTTCTTCAGGATTAGCTCTGCCGTCTGCACAGCTCGCTGCAGGTTACTAACAAAGACTTTCGAGAACTTGACGTCTCTGAGGTATTTTCCCACGGCTTCTCCCTGCTGCACACCTGTTTCTGACAGAGGCATGTCCATTTCCTGACCCTATTGTAGGGTGGCTGTTTTGCTGATGTTACACTAGCTACGTTTACATGCGCAAAATTTCCCCGATCCGATCCAAACCTTGGTTGATCGGAAATTCAAAATCTCCGTTTACATGGACACTAAATGAAATGATCCGATCATGACGTGTGTATACATGTACCAAGCGTTGGATCAGATTAAATCTTTTAAGCATGCGCAGAACTTCCTGCCAAACTT